TTTTTTACTTGTTTTATATAGTAAATAAAGTATTTGTGACTGAAATTCGGCAATTACAGTAACTTTTTCTCTCTCTCTCATGATTCTCTCTTCTTTATGTGCATAGAGGAGGTGATGGTGGCCCAGTCGAGTGCCGCACGGTTTCAGGAGAGGAGAGGGACGGACACCCTCAAGAGATCCGGAACAGTAGGAGGAAGCGGGTGGGGGCCGGCCGGGCGGGCGGCGGGAGGATACCCGGCGCGGCCACCCGCACCTGTGCCCGCCCGCTGCCGCCAGCCCAGCAGCAGCCGGACTTGCCCAACTCCACACGCACCCCGCGCCCGCCTCCAGCTGATCGCGCCGCCGCCGGGCTCCGGGCCGAGCGCGCCGCGCCCAGCGTCGCTGCAGTCTGCGCCCAATCGCGGCCGCGTGAGCACGGAGCACCACGGTACCCACGGTACGAGCGGGACGCGAACCAGAGCACCGCGTCGCGAGCCTTCCGAGTCGAGCGGCACGGCCGCGCGCGGCTTGGAGTAGCGGGGCGCCAGCCAGCCAGCTGTTGGTCCGGAGCGCTTGCACACGCTTGCACCAGGTGAGGAACGTGCGCCCGTTCGGGCGTAGTGTAGCGTGGAGGCGAGCGATTTCATTTCCTGCGGGGATCCTGTATTGGCGCGCGGGCATGAGCCGCGTGCGAATGATGGAAGACCAGACCGGCGCGCGAACCGCCGAGGCGGAAAACCCCTTCCGCAGTATTGTTCCTTCCCGCAGTATCGGGGGATTTGGGTTGTTTCCGCCCACAGAATCCTGCCCCGTGCTGGCGTGGAGGTGTAAATCTGTATAAGCGCGGGGGTCCGTTCCACGGAAACTGCATTTTGCACCTCATGTACCAGCGCCTGCACTTGCGGGGGCGGGGAGTGCCAAGTCAAGGCCCGCGACCCTACGACGAGCAGCGCGCCCAAAGTGTCCCCACAGCTGGGGGGCGCAGCAAAAGCGCGGGAACGGTTTCTAGGGGCCACCCGTGTAATTATCAGCGCCAGGGCAAGGCGGGGGGACCCGTTGGACTCGCACGCTGGGGCCTCCGTCGCAAACTCGGGGACAGTCATCATCATGATCGTCAGTGGCTTCGGGGTAACGCAAACGCAGGCCGACACTCACTCGGTCGCCAAAAAGACGGCAAACCTGTTGTTGATGTGATCTTGCGTACACTTTTTATATTTCCAAGTGCAGTGTGTAAGGACTCTTACTGCTTACATCTTTTCGATGCCTACGCCTACACTCGGGCGCATTTTCGTGACCAGACGTCTCGCAGATGTCTGTAATGGATGCCTATTAAACCGGCTTCACTCTACTCCATCGACATATTTTCGACATGTTGGTACTAGAGGTCTATTATTTTCTGTTGGGGGAGTACGAGTATGAAGTGGCTGGTTGATAGCAGCCGCATCATCGCCCGGCTCCGGCGCGCCTCGACCCGGAGCCGGCTGCAGGTGCTGCAGGATGTAAACATGTCGAACAAGTGATGTAAGCGGCTGGGTATGGAGGGCCAGGCGGCGGGGGGATCCAGGTCAGCCGCGCTAGACCCGCGCCAGACCCACGGGCCGCAATTATAGGCCCATCGCCGGCGCTAATATTCGCGTTGCGGCGGACAGAGGGTCCGCTCGTTGCGATCCTGCCGGCGTCCCGTCCAGTCGGCGCAAGCCCTCATAGCGCCTGCTGGGTAGGCAACATCTTGCCTGCAGTGCATGCGTGCACTGCAGGGTGGCCTACGCCGAGTCTCGCAGGCGCGAAGCTCGTTGGTATCGTTAACTCGTTAACGATATCAAAATTTCGATTCCGAGGTATGCACGATAACGTTCCGCTGCCGTCTATACTGTACCGTACGTGCATGCTGTACAGTCCAATTGCGGAAGACGGGGCGTATTAGCCACGTGGTATGCTTATTTTAAAACAGTGTGGCTTTGGGATAAATTCTTGAATGTTGTCAAAAGGTTATTACTCTTGACTTTGACCTCTGGGGTGCTAGTTAAATAGTATTATGCACACATACGTGTATAATATACCCCACCTTTGCTAAATAAAGTAAGGGGCATCAAGCAAGAGAGCCTTTTAACTGGGCACGCCTCATGACATTAGATGGGCAATGTGATGTGAGACCGTCTGCTCTTCATTTAGCAGTGTTGTTGTTGTTGACTGTGTCTGTGGGCCCGGAGAGTCCGTTTGTAGTGCTGCGCTGGAAGCCGGTTTCTCCGCCGGCCCCGCTATTTGCATTGCTTTTCGGGAGGGCGCTATTCGCACCGATTCACACTTATGCACACGCAATCGCGCCACGGAGGCTTGTCTCGAGCCTCCAGTCTACAAGGTGACCGCAGTCACTGGGCTCGCCTCGCCCGTCGAGGTGAATGATCGGGCCACAGGGAAGGGGGGGGGGGGGATTTGGACGACATCTTCCAAAGGGTATAATTTTGGAGCTGTATATACGCTCCTATGGCATAGGGTACGTCACCAAAGGCGATAGGATACTGCTTGGGCTCGTCTCGTGGCTGTTTGGCCGTTGTCAGTTTTCATTTTCGTTCATTACATAAGTCGTGAGAATTTTTGCAACACAAAGTAACCTGCGTAGGAGGGAAATTTGCCTTACTTTCCTACCAACAAAAGTCTGACGAGGTGCAGATTGCATTACGGAGAGCGGAGAGCTGATTAAAAGCTTTTGAAAGGCGGGGAGAGCAATAAATCCGAATGAATGGGAAATGCACTTTGTCTTGAGAATGGCGCTGCGTTGTCTGGAACTCTCATTTCAAGGCTGACCAAGGAGCAGCCCCTCCCGTTGTCCCCTCCCTCCCTCATCCTAGACTCATTGCCGTGGATCCCATGGATCCCAGCCAAGTTAATTTTGCTATTTTACTCGTTGCGTAGTACCATCATGCTTTCAGCGGGTATAGTTAATAAAAAAAAGAACGAGCAGTCTTGCGCCAGCATTTTGTACGGCCCGAGCACGGCCTGTCTGACTTGAACCGTAATCCATTTAAACACTCGACACTGAACAGAACGCATGGGCGTTAGCGTCAATCAGAAGGTATTTTATTAGAGAAGCATTTGAATTTCCATCGCGACAAATGTGTAGTACGGTTGTACGTCTCCATCGTTTGGTGACAGTGGGCGAGTAGATATACCCAGCACACTTCTAAAAATCATATTCGATGTATAGACATGGCATGGCTAACTAGAATGACTGCTTTTTCCACTCTTTCCCTCTAGAATGACTGCTTTTTCCACTCTTTCCCTCTAGAAATCCTTGTTTACAACT